TTATTATGAAAGTCCGTTGCTCACTGGCTCTGAAGTTTCCGATAGCACGTGAAGACAGCAGAGAAGTGCTCTCGCTCAGCACAGTGGAGTGCATCGTTTTGTTAACTTTGTGGTTTATTATTATTTTGAGTCGTTTGGGACGCGGTAACACATGGCCCTCTCACAATATATTGCTTTACAGATCTATCGCTTTTGCCGCTAAGAAATGTACACGCAATCATGCTGCACGTATCAGAAGTTCGGCGCTCCGGCGCGGTTAGCGCTCTCACCTACATGCGTGCCGCGCATGAGCCCTACTGAACCGCACTCTGGCCCACCTCTTCCAACCGAGCCAGGGACGCCTAAACGAACCGCTCCGAAGCGCGGCACGGAGCGATCACACTAGTCAAACAAACCCGGCTTTGGAGGTCAAACGCGCTCAGGCACTGTTAAGATTGCCTAGTGTGAGTACACCCTTATTCTCCCTCATCCCGCACACTAGTCTCTACCCGCCTGCACCCGCACTCGCCCATCAAGTGTTGTCTCGCGCCGCACTCTGTTACGTTGGGTCTCGCGATTGTGCAGGTCTCTACTCGGAAGGTGCCTGTTATACTGTTATGATCGAGGCTCTGGACTCTGTGCATAAGTTATTTTTCTATAACAAACTATAAAATATTTTCTATAAAAACGTTAATGCCGTGGCAGTGGCAAATAGCTGTGGTTTTATATTTAATTTGATTACATTAATGTTATAAGTTGAGATTTACAATAAATATTTTAACTGCTACTATGTAAAAGGAATACTGCTATAAAAAGCACCTTATTTGTTTAAAGTGTTTGCAAACCAAATGCTATTGCAAATTAATTTTGTGCATAACAATGTGATTAAACACAGAAAACCATGCGATTAATCGCAATTAAAACAAAATTTAATCGTTGCCCAGCACTAGTAAAAATACATTTAAAACCAGCATAAAAATGTGGTAAAACTGTGTAAAGGCAGTACAACAAATCCTATGATGCATAAATACTTGAATTAGACTTTTAATAATGCTCATTTGCTTAATACTTAAAATATTATATTATTAGTTATTGTATTGTATTTTATAATATAGAATATATTATTATAATTGATTTAATTATTGATAGTTATTTATTATTTTATTATATTTATACTATGATGTTTACCATTACTGTAATGAAAGTAATGTGTGTATATATATATATATATATATATATATATATAGAGAGAGAGAGAGAGAATTTAAAAAGTACTTATTTGCTTATTATAACAGTATTTGATTAATTATTGTACATATTGTGTTATTAATTAAACTATTAATAATTGCTTATTAATTGATTATGCTTATACCACAATATATAAAAATTATAATAATTTTTCTTGTATGACAAATAATAAAACCATAATATATTTATATGCCTTAAAAATGTTTTGAAGGGATATTTTGTTGAATCTTTATATGTTGTTCAATTCAAAGATCTCTTCTGAAAACATCATAAATATAGTTGAAGCTTCACTGTTTAATTCATTGCCAGTAAAGGCACTTGGGTCAGGAAATGTTTCTTTAACTTTGTCGGTTTTCTTTTTAAGGTCTTGACGGTGCAGGATCTGGTGGATTTTTCGCCAGTCTACCGATGTCTTCACATCTACACTGTTTTGGTAATTCCCAGCATCTCTTTTACTACAAATGTGCCGTGCACACAGTGAACAACCAATATATCAACAGCCTGTCTCCATAACATGTTATGAAAGTCTATTTGGGTTCTGCAGTAGAACACAATATGTGTTTTATTGAGAAACATTCCTGTTGATCTGTTTCTAATCTCCAGCCTCTGAGTTGACAGTGCGTTTTCATTGAAAGGCTTTTCTCTCAAAGTGGCTCCTCGAACATTAATGGCTTATATAAGCAAAGGGATTTCCAGAGTTTTGACTGTCGTGCCATCAATATTATTTTTGCTTTAAACCAAACGCAAACTGTGGAGAGGTGAGATTGAGTTTGTTAGCGCTCGGTGCCATCGCTCATCTGGTCAGAACTAATCCCGAGTCCTTCAACACGCCAACAAAAGGAAAGGCTTTTCTCTCAAAGTGGCTCCTCGAACATTAATGGCTTATATAAGCAAAGGGATTTCCAGAGTTTTGACTGTGGAGAGGTGAGATTGAGTTTGTTAGCGCTCGGTGCCATCGCTCATCTGGTCAGAACTAATACCGAGTCCTTCAACACGCCAACAAAAGGGGTCAGACTGCAGCATCTAATGGGACTGACCGAGCAGTTAACCCCCTTTTTGCCGTAAAAACAAAGCAGTGAAAAAGTTATTTCGCTTCGGCATTCAGATTGTGCACAAACTGCGGTGCATTCACTGGCCGTAGGATGAGTCGAGTGCTTTCCCCTCAATGGTTCAGTTAATGAGAACACGAGCGCTTTTGACCGCTGTGCTACCCGAGAGCTCACAGGTGCTGGCAAGGGCCGAGGGCCACTCTTCAGCCACACCGAGAAGAGAGAGGGGGCGCAGGTGCTTTGCGTTCAGAGATATTGTATGTTTCCAGTTCTTTGGAAATACCACACCGAGAAGAGAGAGAAGAGAGAGGTGCTTTGCGTTCAGAGATATTGTATGTTTCCAGTTCTTAGGAAATACACTTTGCCTAAATTTCAGTCAAACCACATATAAACGTACCTACACATACATTTCACTCCAGTTTCCAGCTGAAATGAACACTAGATGCAGCAAAACGACAACCACTTTTATTCCTACAATAATGAGGCAAATAATTGAAAAAATAAAAGCTTCCACAAAGTTCCTTGCACAATACTATATTATGACCTCAAAATACTGTTACCATAGTGATTGATTGTGTACATTTTTGATATTCGCATTGCATAACTTGCTTCATATGTATGGCTTTTCGGGTTTAGTAAACTTGCTTGGTAGCCCACCTGATACAGCATTGCACTTACGATGCGGAGACCTGGAGTATGAATCCCTTGAAACAAAAGTCACGAGACACCACAAAAGAGGCCGCAGGACTCAGGCTGTGAGGCTTCAGCCGCAGGGTATTTGCATAATCCCTCACTGATTTACAACTGACTGACCCTCCAAACACACTCTCAGCCCCAGCAGTTTAGAATATTCACAGTTAATCTGCTGTTATTGTTGCAATCTGTCCTCATTAGGCCCAACTGACCTCTCCATTAGATCAGATTGAATGGATCGTCACTGAAAGGGCTCACCAGGAAATGCTTCCAATTATCATTCCAAATGCCTTGTTTTGAAAATAAACTTCCCTGAAAGACACGACTAAAGCCCTCTTAGCTCCTGAGCGGCCTGCGCTGAAAAAAAATTGGTGTAGGATTTACTTTGAAACAATTTTCATTCAGAAATTCTAGTCAGTTTCACAAATAATTACAGAGAAACAGCAAGGAGCATATTAAACATGGAATTTTGAATTAGAAAGACTGAAGTAGTATTTTCTTGTAAAATGTACTCCAGTAATCTCACATTTAAAAAAAAAAAAGTACAATGTGAAAGCAAAATTTTTTTTTGTTTGTTTTGTGTCATTGTTGTCATTTTTATAGTCATTTAAATTTATTAATTCCAAGATTTGATACCGGACACCAGAAATCTCTATAAAAATGTTTTAAAATCGTAGTAATAATTAAAGAACAAAAAGTCATGGTGATTCACTGGTCAAAACGCATATACACTCACAAAAGCTATTTTCTTGTTTTTTTTATTAAACCAACCAAAAAATGACTAATATGATGTTATTTGACAATATGATGTGTGTATCATGAGGAATTGCTTGAATATATTTGTTTTCTTGATGCAACCACTATAATATTGCAGTTATCATGTTATATTTTATCCTTTTTAAAGAATGCTACTGTGATTTTAACTTGTAATAACCATTATCTTCCTTGTTCATTTGCTTATGTTAAACAAGTTCCAGTTTAATTAGATTTTGTGTAATTATATTATAAAAATAAAAAAAAGGAAATAAATAATACACCTAAATATGAATTATATAAATATAAATTATGAATATAATAAATATTAATAATAGATATATCATTTAAAATAATGATATTTTTTAAATAATATCATTATTTAATAATTACATCACACATAACCTTATAAATAGTTTAAAGTAATGAAATTTAAATAGTATCCTATGAAAATATTCTACGTTCTTTGTTTTGTTTTAGGGGTCATATATCCACGTGTGTGTGTTTGTGTTCTCGTCCAAATGCTTGTCAATGAAGTACATCACGTCCTGAAGTGTGGAGTGACGGCGTGTGTTGCAGCCTGACCAGTGCTTATTTAACCGTGTGATTTACGCACTCACTCCCCGCGTCTGAGAGGCAGGCCACTGCGCCCTATCTAAATGTTTAACAAGAGAATCACACTAGTGCAAGGGGCTGTAAATCAAACCTGCAGCTCCTGTACAACCACCCTCACTATCTAACCCCACCAACCTGGAAGAGACTCGTCTGGCTCATGGTTAAATGCTCTGGAGATCTTTGTGGAGGCTAAAGCTGCTGCCAGCCTTATGTTAATGTTGATAGCGGTTTCTCATAACGTAACTCACATCTGCAGTTAACCGTAAATCATTAACTAGTTAAACACATCAATTATTGATTGAGAACTGCATTAAGTTGCCAAAACACCTCAAACGTATTTAACATCCCTCTTTTTATTTGTATTGTTTTTTTAAACTTTTTTTATTATTATGTTAAATGATATTTCTAGTATTTATATTAATGTAATTAATATTGAGATGTACTATTATTTATTTACTTTTTAATTAAAAAAAAGAATTTGGCCAAATCTAATTAACCTTTTACTTATTTTTTAAAAAGTTCCAATTTACAGTAAGTAAATAAAAAGAAAGATAATAATGAAAAATCTAATTAACATTAAAATATTATTAAAATATAACCCAATAACTGCATATTATAGTGGTTATAGTATTTTTTATGGTTTTAATTACCTAATAAAGTAAATAGTGTGTATTAAAAGAGGGTAATAACAAAAATCTTTAACTTGGCGTCTGTTCTTGTTATAGAAGTCTCAAATAGCTTTGTTTTTTAGTTTGTCTGTTTTTTTTATGATGTAATGAAGTGTGTTTGAGTTTGGACACTTGTCACATCATAGATGCTCAGCGATTGGAGTGGTGCCGCACTGTGCCGTGTGGTTTCATATGGCGGTGGGTGGGCAGGCCTGTGTGCTCAGACACTGACTAATCCTGTCAGCCATCACTCCCCTGCCTGGGTCAATCACTGCTCTCTCCTATTTAAGCTCACGGACAGGCCTCCTCCATCAGCAGCGGGGGAGGGCTGGACGGCCTCATTTAGATGCTAATGTAACCTAAAGACTCATTAAGACACAAGTGTATTTGATCAATGAGTGACTGGCTGTGAGTTACCCATTTAAGCCTCTTTCACACAGAAATTCCGGAAAATACACGGATAATGTGTCCCGTGATTTGTCCCGGGATCGTTTGATTGTGGTTCATTCACACTGCCAGTGATTTTCCGGAATCTGTGTGTGCGTTCACACGCATCCCGTATAGATCCCGTAAAGACACGTGACGTTATGATGTGACGTGTAATGTGACGCGTTCCATTTCACTAGCTGGTGAACGATCACAGCTTCAGCGCAGATAGTGAGGAGCTACCTGATCTCTGCTTCATTACAGTTTGCACATATTTTTTCGTCGCGAACATTGATCTGCCTTCAAAACACCCGGCAAAAGAGTCGCACAATAAAGTGCGTCATCACTACGACACACCCTTTACGCCATTGATTCTGGCTTTTGTTCACACAGAGCATACTTCCTGGTTGAACCCGGCAATGTTACTAGGTCCCCAACCCGGGATCGATCCCGGAATCAATCCCGGGACGTGTTTGCGTTCACACAGAAGGCACTCCGGCAATTTTCCGGGACCAACGTGCAGTGTGAAAGGGGTTTTAGAGGGAGGCGTTGAACCTAAACTAATCTGGCCTGCAGAAACGTGATTCATTGGATCTTGGATCCTCTGTTTGAATGGATTGATAACACAAGGTTTTATTGTACAGTTTTAGAGGTTAATCGAATGAAAGAATGTCTAGCTCATATTTCAAACCAAAATTAAAAGAATGAAAGAAAATATATTTTGCAATAATACATTTAATTAAGTACAAACTTCATCCAGTTCTCAAGTTATCAGTTAAAAAAAAAAGTAATTTAAAAGAAAAGTAAAAATATATCTATCGAATACATCTAAAAATATATAGGCCTATATCTAATATTTCTTTATGGTAAATTATGATGATAATATATAAGAGTGATTTTATTTGTTGTCATTTGTTATCATGATAAATTGGCTTCACTTCTAAAATCTTGTCAAATCATTTTGCTAATTTTATTTCTTTATTTTATTTGGAGTGAAATATGACCTGCACATTTCTTTAAAAGATTCACCCATAGATGCTTTATGTTCTAAACACATTTGTGAAGACTGCTAATGTGAAGATGCACCATTTTGTTGTCATTCTTATCATTATTATTATTTTTTTTTTTAACCCACTAGTCCTACTGCAGTGATCCCGACCTGGTCCTAGAACTGAAGAACCTGATAGTTATATTTGCAGACACTTTACAGGTATTCTCCAAATTTTTGTTTAAAGTATATCTTGTCACTGTCATTCTGTTGCACTGTGGAGCTTCTGTCACTAAAACAAATTCCTTGTGTGTGTAAACATACCTGGCAAAGCTCATTCTGATTCTGTAATTGCCTTGGTTTTGTAGGGTTATGGCTTCCCTGTCAACAGACTTTTTGAACTTTTGTTTGAGGTTAGAGATCAGTACAACGAAACATTGCTCAAAAAATGGGCCCTGGTGTTCAGGTGAGCTGAACTACAACTGCATTGTTTCTGGTGTTAGTGAATTGATATGGGTAGATTCTGCGTTATACAGTGACATCTGTGTTTCCTCTGCTGAAACAGGGATATTTTTGAACAGGACAACTACAGCCCCATTCCAGTGGAAAATGAAGAGGAGTATAAGGCCGTGATCAGTCGCTTCCCCTTCCATGATGCAGAGATAGAAAAGGTTGAAATATTCAATAATGTATGAAAGAAGTCTCTTATAAAACATTTGACAATTTAAACAAACTGAATTCTGTTTTAATATATTTTAAAATGTAATATATTTCTGTGATGGCAATGCTGAATTTTCAGCAGCCAATAATCCAGTGATTCAGAAATCGAACTAATATGCTGATGGATATTCTAAAAGATTCTTTCCAAGAAAGCCATTTTGGCCAATTATTTGAGAGAATTCGTACCTTGTATTGAAAAAAATATACAGTGGGTACGGAAAGTATTCAGACCCCCTTAAATTAAATGATTTTAGCAAATGGCTGCAATATAACAAAGAGTGAAAAATTTAAGGGGGTCTGAATACTTTCCGTACCCACTGTATATACCAGTGTGATTCACAAGTGAACACAAAAGAAAGTGCAAGTATTTCTTGGAAAATGGGTTGTGAATGTCTGTTCTTATCGACTGGACATGAATCACCTTTTATTGTCTTTCTTGTTTATTAATCAGCAACAATTTCCAAAGAAGCTGCCCATGTCCCAGTCAGTGCCTCAAATCTACTCTCAAGTGAAGGAGTTTATTTACGCCAGCTTGAAGTTCTCCGAGTCACTCCATCGCAGGTGAGCAGAATCCACAACACCCATGAATCTACAGACAGAAGACATTCAGCAATTTTCATTCTCATTCATCCAGTGTGCTTATTCTTGTTCAGAACAAAATGCAAATATTAATCGAAAATCAACTTTGGATGTAGAATCTTGTTAGCAAATACACAAATCTTCAATACTTACCTTGCTGGATCTGTCCGCTGCTTTTGACACGGTTAAATACCAGATCCTCCTGTCAACCCTATTGGCAAAGGCCATCTCAGGAACCGCACTCCAATGGTTTGAGTCTTACCTCTGAGATAGGTCCTTCAAGGTATCTTGGGAAGGTGAGGTGTCCAAGTCGCAACATCTAACAACTGGGGTGCCTCAGGGCTCAGTTCTTGGACCACTTCTTTTCTCTGTCTACATGGCATCACTAGGTTCTGTCATTCAGAAACATGGCTTTTCATATCACTGCTATGCTGATGACACTCAACTCTACCTCTCATTCCATCCTGATGATCCGACGATAGCTGCTCGCATCTCAGCTTGTCTAACTGACATTTCTTGCTGGATGAAGGACCATGACCTTCAACTGAACCTTGCCAAGACAGAACTGCTTGTAGTTCCATCAAACCCATTGTTTCATCACAATTTCACCATCCAGTTAGGCACATCAACCATAACTCCTTCAAAAACAGCCAGAAACCTTGGAGTTATGATTGATGATCAGCTGACTTTCTCAGACCACATTGCTAAAACTGTCCGGTCCTGCAGATTTGCTTTATTAAACATCAAGAAGTTCAGGCCCTTTCTTTCGGAACATGCTTCACAACTCCTTGTTCAAGCTCTTGTTCTGTCCAGGCTGGACTATTGCAATGCTCTCTTGGCAGGTCTTCCAGCCACTTCTATCAAACCTCTACAACTAATCCAAAATGCCGCTGCAAGATTAATCTTTAATGAGCCGAAAAGAACACGTCACACCTCTGTTCATCAATTTGCACTGGCTACCAATAGCTGCCCGCAAAAAATTCAAGGCATTAATGTTTGCCTACAAAACCACCACTGGCTCTGCACCCATTTACCTAAATTCATTACTTCAGAGTTATGTGCCCTCTAGAACCTTGCGTTCTGCAAGTGAACGGCGTATTATTGTGCCATCTAAAAGAGGCACAAAATCACTTTCACAGACTTTTTCACTAACTGTTCCCTCCTGGTGGAATGACCTGCCCAACTCAATCCGAGCAGCTGAGTCCTTAACCATCTTCAAGAAACGACTAAAAACACATCTGTTCCACCTTTATTTGACCCTCTAACTCTAACACTTTCTATTCTATTTTAATTCTACTATATCTATTTATATTATTTTTTATTTAAAAAAAAATCAACTAACACTAGCTTTCTATTTTTTTTTCCTATTCTATCTACTTGTTTTTCTTTGTTTGTGTGTGTGTATAATATATATATATATACACTGCTATGTGTACTGCGTTAGGCTAACCGAGACTTGTCATTTGCACTTATATATTGTTGCTCTTTTGTTAGTTTTGACTGCTTTTAAATTAACAAAAGCAAAAAGGCCTCTAACACTAGCTTGCTCTATTCTTTTTCTACTCTATCTGTTTTCTTTATTTATTATATAATTTTTAAAAAAACTTGTTACGTGTACTGCATTAAGCTAACTGAGACTTGTTATAGCACTTGCATATCGTTGCCCTTTTGTTGATTTTGATTGCTTCCATTGTCCTCATTTGTAAGTCGCTTTGGATAAAAGCGTCTGCTAAATGACTAAATGTAAATGTAAATGTCATGTAGCAAAACAACCAAAAAGAAGACATCTAGAAACAGAATTTGGCAGAATTTGGCTTGTGAAGCTGTTATCGTGACATGACCTTCTCCATGGGAAGCCCTCATTTACGGTTCTGAACTGTCTTTAAAACCACCACCCTCCCCTCCACCCCTAGCCATCTCTTCTGCCAATATTTGTTCTCTTTAAGCTCCATGGCATTCGGCTGGTCGTTGTGAGGGGTCTGTGTTGTGCTTGTCACTGGCACCCCAAATTCTTTCCCAGAGGGTTAGAAGTGCACATAGCTGGAGGATTTTACCTCTCACTGTCCCTCTGAGGCGAGTAGCCACTGCTCAGCAGCAGAGATTAGTGGTTGACCAGTGGATCACCAATGCTGATATTTATCGGCTGATATTTGGCTTTTTTTTTATATTGTAGCAGCTGCTACGTTTTTCTTTTTGCCCAACAAGTTTCAAAAGCAAGAGTTTTTATTTTTATTTTGGCAACGCTGAGAACACTAGCACCTGAGCTCTCATTCTCAATTTTATTTAGTTTATTGTCTTTGTTTAACTGTTTACTATCTTATAAATTATTAGACCGAACTTTTAAACAAAGAAAGAAAATGAAATTTGAAAAATAATTATTGCGTTTACTTTTATATTAATAATAATAATACAAAGGTAAGCGCTACAATACTTACTCATATGCTGTCGGCATTCAGCAAAAATGCTTTTTATCCATTAAAAAGTTGTTGAATATCTCAGAAAAATGTACAGTATTTGAAAAATAATGTGTTTTTTGAACATTAAAGCATGTCAACATATTCTGTTACACCAAATACACAAAATAATGATCTTTTAAAAAGCATCATATGACCCCTTTAATGCCACATACTTTGCAAACTTTTGGAATCCAACTTTTAGATCCTCTGATGTATGCACTGTCATATTCAGAGTTTACTGTATGTAAAATAAGAGAACATATAATTTGCTGTACACACAGACTTGCTAGATTTTTTTTTATCAAGTTCATATAATGTTTTCCATTTTCAAATTATTTCTAATTTAGTAAATATTATGTAAAATAAACATAAATTTCAATGCAACATGTTATTTTCTATCTTTAAATTGAATAGTGTCACACATTTTAACTTAATTTTTTTTTAAATTCATATTGATACATGTTTTCAAATGATTTCTAATTTAGTAAATATTATGTAAAACTAGTGCTGTCAATCGATTAAAAATAACTAATTAATTGCACATTTTTCCTGAAATTGTGATTAATCGTGATTAATCGATTTATATTTTAGTTGTTTTTTATGACTGAATGCGAGTATCACTGATACCAACACTACTGATATCTCTATGAAATAGATTTTTTTCTCTAAAGTTTAACCATTGACTGTAGCCATTCAACATTACAGTATAATTAAGAACTATAAATTTTTACATTTATTAGACTTTAAAAAATAACTTATTACATCACGCGCTGGCACAGATGCAGTATATTAACGCCACGGGTCATCAATAAGGTGTAGATTGGTCCTCAATTTGTGTTTCCAACACACTTTTTCACAGCGCGCATCACGTGCTCAAACTCATCAAAAGTCAACAAGTAACAACGACTTATCCAAGTGACTGCTGCAGAACGCACGCGAGAGAGAGACGAGGCAGCGCAGATCGCGCGTCTCATAGAATACCTCAAGCGGGTGACGGAAATGTTACGCCCCTTACCATACTGTGATGGCGTGTCCCGGAGCAACGAGACAAAAACATTAAAACCCATTATAAACGAGGCATTTGTTGCATCCAGTGGGGATATGATTACAAGATTATAATGACTTATACTGTCTTTTTACGCGTTGCGTAGCATTGCGCCGCGTAAACATAAAACCATGCATTTGTGATCCTAGAAATGACAATAAAAGAATAAAAGTTACGCCTTCTTTCTTTGCATGAACATTTGGGCGGCGTTATGCAAAATCTTCCCACATCGTGACGTAGACATGTGGGGGCGTGTTAGAACGAGCCGGTTTAGGTAGGCGTGGCTGGATTTGAGACTTTAGTCTTTGCAATTTTACAGATCTTCTTTATGCACCAAGAGCTTGTAACACTCCAAAGAGAAAGGAAAAATTTAAATCGCATCATATGACCCCTTTTACGCTACAACAGTTATTGATTTATTCTTTTTTTATTTTATTTTTATTTTTTTATTTCTTTTGTTCTTTGATTAACAGGCATCACAGCAGCTGGGTTAGGTTTTTTTGGTGCTATTACTTTAAGAGCTGCCGCTGCTGAACTTGACGTGGATCTGACACACATCGTATTTTCTCACAACTCACAACTTTTCTGCTTGACGTGGATCTGACATACATCGTATTTTCTCACAACTCACAACTTTTCTGTCCCACTTCAGTTCTTAAAGTCTCTACTAATGAGTTGACAAGTTGAATCGGGTGTGTCAGATGAGGGAGACAGTGCTGGGGTGCTCCAGGACAGTTTTGAAAATCGCTGCGTTTCAGAGACATGTTCTTAAATCTGACTCATTTATAACTAATACTTCCATGCATGAACAATTTTAAGGCTTCAGTCGCATTTTTGGTAACTTAATGACTTAACTGATGACATAACTACGAAATTGCATGGTCGTAGTTTCTTTCGTGTTTTAATATAAAATTATATACATTTCATAGCATAGCATTGCATTTGTGCATGCAATTGAAGAGTGCGCTACAAGCAAATATTTTAATGCCGTTAAACTGTAAAAATTAATCGTCTTCGTTAACGCCGATTTTGACAGCACTATGTAAAACAAATATTAATAGCACTGCGGCAACACTGCAGTGTTATTATCTATAATTTAAATAGTGTAATATCATAAATATCAGTAGTTTTTTTCATATTTATTTATTTTCAAATTATTTTTAATTTAGATATTAAACATTTGCAGCATGATATTTACTGTCTTTAAATTGTATAATGTGTTACCATATATAATTTTTTTCATATTGATTCATTTTCACATGATTTCTAGTTTGGAAATCAATTCGGAAATCAGTCTAATATGTTAATGGATATTCTGACAGATTTTTTCCAAGAAAGCCATTTTGGCAAATTAATTGAATTAATTAGTGCCTTGTATGATGCCAAAATAGTCTCAGAATGAATATATTTACCAAATGTGTTAGTGTTTAGTGGAAAATGGGTTATAAATATTATGTCAAATAAATATAAATTTCACTGCTGTGTGTGTTACTTATCACCTTTAAAGCTGCAGTCCGTAACTTTTGGCGCTCTAGCGGTTGATAAACAGAACTGCATGCGTCTTGTGGAAGAACATTGTAGCTGGAGCTACTTCTCTCTGTTTATGTCTATAACGAATCACGCAGGTACTGGGCTACTCCGCAGTGGTTCCACCAGTACCAGTCTGAAATAGTCCGAATATAAAATCTTATTATAAGTGTAACGTAGTGATTCAGCAAAAGCCAAAAACACGGTTTGGAAAATGGATTCATCATGTATTCGCTTATTATATACATTTTGTAAATTTTGAACACAAAAAAAGTAAGGACTGCAGCATTAAATTGAATGGTGTGATATATATACATTATATATCGGCTTTATATTGGTCGTCAAAAGTTGCATATTAGTCAACTGTCTTCTCATTGTCCCTTTTCCACCAAAGTGGTGCAGAGGCTGAGCCGGCGCTCGCCCAGGCATTTCCACAGAATACCAGCCAAACTGCTTTTGCTTTGAGCAGTGAGAAGAGTGAGGAGACCCACATGAGGCTGTCAGAGCACTTATGGATTGATCTAACACAGTCTTTTCCCCTCCTGTCCCTCCACTAATCAATGCAAACGACTGCAGATTTCACACTCCTCTCTAATGGTTTCTTTGTTATTTAAGCAAGCGATAATGAGCGACCTCTGCACCTCTTCATGGAGCATTTCCCACCTGATCACTCCCTCCTAATCAACACCCCACACTGAGACACACAGTCCCCAACCGCAAAATCAACACCAACCAGCAGTGTCCTGTAAACACTCGCACCTTACAAGCGTGCTGGGCAGTAGTAGGGCTAGTTGTGGATGCGGTCAGTACTAATGGGTGCAGACAGCAAGCATACTGTGCTTGGTTAAAGAGAGAGAAAAAAAGGAAATTCTGTCACCATTTACTCATCTTTACTCACCAATTGTTTTTGTCCATACAATGAAAGTCAATGGGGTTTAATGTTGTTTTGACCACAGCATTCTTTAAAATAAATTATTTTGCATTCTGCAAAAAGAAAAATCATTTTGGGGGCATAATGTACAAAAGTAGAGATGTGAATAAAATTTTTTAAGGGCGTGGTTGTTTTCGAAACAATGTTGCTTTCCGCTAACAATCTAATTTTTCTGGCAAATAGCAGAGTAGCACGTCAGCTGCTATAATGCTACACTGTATTTGAATTGTCTCTCTCTTGCTCAAGTAGTGTCATGTTACGTGTCTACTTGGCAAATAAATAAATAAATGGACAAAATATTGTTCTAAATTTAAAAGATGTGTGTCTGAAGAATGAGCAAAAAAATTTATGGTTTGCTTAAAAACTAGCATAGCATAGGAAATTGGTGACCTGGTACCACATATCTTTAATAAACTGAAATAAGTATAGTCAGTTTAAAATTTAAAAGGTACATTTCAGTCAGCGCCGATAGCCTTGTGGGCATCACGCCGACATACAGCGTCGTTGCACAACGGGCATCCTGAGTTCGAATCCCGACTCGAATCCCACCCCCATCTCTCTTCCACTTCACTTCCTGTCAATTCTGATCTGTCCTATTCATAGCTTTCAGTCACGTGACCGGCTCGAAGACTTGGAGGGCAAAACATCCATAGAACTGCAGCACAAGCCTGTCAATTTTCCATCTGTTTTCCAGCCTCAAATATTTAGATCACCTCTCAAAAGAATAAAATCGGTCTGTGCAAGAAACTGAACAGTATTTATATCGTTTTTTACCTCTGATTCACCGTAATGTCCAAACTGTTCTGAGCACATTTGCGTCTTCTTCTTCAGCCGGCGCGTGACGTGTTCTGGCCTTTGGATGGAGATTTACTGCTGATCACAGAACCGTGCTTCACTGAAAGATACGCATGACAATCGCAGCTTCTGTCGAATCGCGATCTCGATTCCATTTCGATTTATCGTGCAGCCCTAATTGACACTCCTAATTGAGATTGTAGGTAGAGTGTCAATAGTCCATTTGAGAGATAGGTGGCGGTAATGCACTTATAAGTCTGCGATCCGCCGTAAAGCAAGAAGTAGAAGAAGTTGCTCACGCGCCGTGATTCCCATTCACTTCCATTATATGACTGACAGACTGCAACAGTTTGAGTTAAAAATCTTTGTTTGTGTTCTACTGAAGAAACAAAGTCACCTACATCTTGGATGCCCTGGGGGTAAGCAGATAAACATCAAATTTAAATTTTTGGGTCAACTATCCCTTTAAAACAGTAATATTAAAGATCAAATTCAGTAATCACCATGTTAATGATGCATAGTTTACATAGGCAAGCAGATGAGGCCGAAATATGAACGCAATCCGCTTAATGGTTCAGTGTTTTCCTTATATTTGTTTTCTATGGGAAACCATTTAATGTGAAACTTTGCAGATTGTGTTTATATTCTGGGTTCATCTTCTTGCCTGTACAAAATATACATCATCAATAAGGTGTTTACTGAATGTCGCCTTTTAATATCTGCGGTTTACTATATTACTACTTAATGCAATCTGTGTAAAAATAGCTGTCGGTCAGTCGAGCAAAGCTTCGTTTTGCCCTCCAGGTTGGGCGTTCCTATAAAGGTGTGACGTCACGTGAAAACTATCAATTGAAATAAATTGAAATTTTTGGTGGAAAATGGCAAAAAAAAAAAAAAAAAGGTCAATTTCATGTCCATTGATGATAGTATATTTTCTTTTGAAAAATCATATTTTATCCTTGGGAAACCATGTAATAATCTCATGCAAATATTTTGCGCATTCGGTTTGTTTTCTTGAAATAGACTTGATGTCCTCAAAATAACATCCTCTGAAATAACAATTAAATTTAAAAAAAAAGTTGCAGTGAACATTATATATATAAAATTTATTTTTAAAGTCTGAATAAGTGTTTTTAAAATTCTATTTAAATGCTCTTCAAGTGAAACGTTTTACTAACTGAACAATCCCCGCAACTAAAAAATGGTTTATCACCATGCATCATGATGATTTTTTTCTTTTGTGGTGGACACTTTGGACACATTATTTTAAGTGTCCTTTTCTTGTCAGTATTTTATCTACAATAAAACTAAAAATCAAGTCAGGAATGTTGGTGTGATTCTGGAGTCAGACCTTAGTTTTAGTAGTCATATCAAAGCAGTAACTAAATTAGCATACTCTCATCTCAAAAACATTGCAAGAATTAGATGTTTTGTTTCCAGTCAAGACTTGGAGAAACGTGTTCATGCCTTTATCACCAGCAGGGTGGATTATTGTAATGGTCTCCTCACTGGCCTTCCCAAGAAGACCATTAGACAGCTGCAGCGCATCCAGAACGCTGCTGCCAGAATTCTGACAAGAACCTGAAAATCTGAGCATATCACACCAGTCCTTAGGTCCTTACACTGGCTTCCAGTTACATTTAGGATTGATTTTAAAGTACTGGTTTATAAATTACTAAATGGCCTAGGACCTAAATACATTGCAGATATGCTCACTGAATATAAACCTAACAGACCACTCAGATCATTAGGATCAAGTCAGTTAGACATACCAAGGGTTCACTCAAAACAAGGGTAATCTGCTTTTAGCTATTATGCCGCCTGCAGTTGGAACCAGCTTCCAGAAGAGATCAGATGTGCTAGTTTAGCTGTTTAGCTGTGCTTTTACTAAATGAGCACTGTGCTACGTCCAAACTGATTGCACTGTATAATCATTTTTATTCTGTATAATCATTTTATATATATAAACATTTTTAACTCTTTTAATTAATTTTAAATACATTTTTAAATCATTTAAATTGTTTTTATTGTTGTGATTTATATTTTTTATGATTAATTTAATTCCTTTTATATGTAAAGCACTTTGAATTACCATTGTGCATGAAATGTGCTATATACATAAACTTTGCCTTGCCTTGCCTTACGATAACCTATTGTCAAGGAGTATAATAATTGACTGTCAAATATGTTAAGTTCACTGTTATGGTGTGCAATATTTTTTAATGATTGCCATTCAAATGTATAATCAAATTTAGGTTCACCTGATCAAGAAAATAACATGCGGGTGTCCAGACAAAGCCTTTAAAAAGGATTTAACCTTCTATGTGTCAGAGGAAACTGAGTATATATTTGCATGAGCTAACAATCCGTGCAAGAGTTAACAATGTGTCGACTATCTTATGAGACATAATTAAAAAGTAAGTCTTTGTGAAAAGATTGAACATATTTCTTGGTTAACTTGTATTTCAGCTCAACTGAGATTGACGACATGCTCCGTAAATCCACCAACCTGCTGCTGACGAGGACGTTGAGCAGCTGCTTACAAAATCTAATCAAAAAGCCACACATAGGATTAACTGAGGTAACGTTAATGTGACGAATCGCCTCATTCTGTCTGCGAAGCTCAGTTCGAAAATAACGTATGCCTTCCTTTCTGTTATGTTTTTCAGCTAGTTCAAATTATCATCAACACCACCCATTTAGAGCACGCATGTAAATACCTGGAGGATTTTATCACGAACATCACCAATGTTTCCCCGGAAACGGTTCATACCACAAGACTCTACGGGCTTTCCACCTTCAAGGTAAAAGTCATTCACAGACATGTTCTTTAATTACACATTTCACTCAGTTGTATAACCGCCATGGGCTCACTGTGATCAGAGAGCAGCCATCTGGAGTGGTTCCCTCAGAGTAAAGCTGTCATCGACAGCACAGGACAAGAGCCGCCTCAGGCTTCACGAACTGCATACTGAGCTTGTTTTGATGCTACTGTGTTAAATGTATCAAACCAGAAGTGTTATTGGGTGACCTCTGTTTGAGTCATTAAACATGCAACAGCATGTTAGCATTGCTCAAGTTTGATTACAATGAATTTCATAAGTATTCACCCCCACCCCTTTCCACATTTCGTTTTTTTACTACGTGAAATTGCATTCGATAAGGATTTTTTAAACCTTTTAAGGTCCACCACGTTTACCAATTGATATGCCTAGAAAATATTTTTAATTGTAGCATGAAAAGCTAGCATAGATGACAGAGGTCGAAACGAAGGTGTTATCAGGTGACCTCTTTTCAGTCATTAAACGCGCAGAAGCATGTTGGCATTGCTCAAGTTTGATTACAATGAATTGCATTGCATAAGTATTAACCCCGCCTTTTTTCGCGTTTTGTTGTTTTGCAACTTGGAATTGCATTTGTTAGATAATTATTAACCATTTGAGATCCGCAAAATTTTTACCATTTGATATCTATGCAAATTATGTTCGATTGTTGCATGACGATTTAGTGGTTGCGACATTTATTGCTTCAGTTGGCAATTGATTTCCAGTGCAACTAGGAATTTTCCACATTTCGCTGTTTTTTAATCTTGCATTCGATAGAACATTTTTACCTTTTAATATGCAAAAAATGCTTGCCATTTGATATTCACGTGAATATTTTTGATTGTAGTGTCAAAAGTAAAACAAATTTAAATGCATCTCAGGATTCAGTTGGAAAACGATTGTACTAGTGTTTGTACACTTCTGGAGGAATTTTCCAAATGTTGTTGTTTTACAACTTGGAATTGCATTTGAAAGGGAATATTTACCTTTTTTAAAAGTGAAACAAAAAAGCATACATTTAATTGTTGCAACATTTATTGTTTCAATACCATTTAAAAGCATCCCAGGAATCATATAGTAGTTGGTTATACCAGTGTTTGTGCACTTCAGGAAAATTTTGAATGCATGGTTTATTATTTTTAGGATGCTAGACATGCAGCTGAAGGAGAAATATACACCAAACTCAACCAGAAGATTGATGAATTCATTCAGCTGGCTGATTATGAATGGGGCATGGCAGAGTCGGACGGCAGGGCCAGCGGCTACCTCATGGACCTCATTAACTTCCTGCGTAGCACCTTCCAGGTCTTCACACACCTTCCAGTAAGTTCCATACCATCCTATTCATATGCAGTCTCGCCATGAATTTGTGACCATTCTTCACCTGTGAGTTCATGTAATGTGTGTTATTGCATGTGTGGCGTCAATCAGTGTTGCATTTATAGGTGTTTAGATGGTCATACCTGGGCGGAAGTTCTAGGAGCCAACACGTTTTCTAGTTTATGCCCCTCTTTTGACTTTCCACTGTTTGATATTAGGTGTAAATCAATGCATATGTGCACAGGAATGTCGTGTTTGGTGTTATAGGTGTCATTACACAAACATACGACGTCCGTTTCCAAAACCAATCAAATCTCTGTCTATTCCTGCACATAATCAACACAGACAACTCCCAGCCCATCCATTCACTGAGAATGATACAGCTTGCTTGCGTTTCTATTCAGCTGCCCTGTCCTCTTAAACAAATTACTTTAACCTCCAGTTTAAGTTGGCTATGCTTTGGTTTCTCAACAATGTAACATCTTTCCTGTAAGTGAATGTATTCCTTGATTTATTTTCTGCCAGGCATGCTTGGTTTTTCTGATTTTCCTTTGTCTGTCCATTTATTATCGCTATACTTTCTTTCCCTGTCCGTGTTTTATTTTCTTGGGGTTTCCGCTCAGAATAACAACAATGATCATGCTGCGATGTCGGTAAGTAGACCCTCTTCGAACCCTAGAGGAGGAAGAGAAAAATTAGAATAATTTAAAAGCAAAAAAAAAAAAAAAAGACATTAAACCTGCATGTTCATGTCAGCTCTGTGGACTTGCTGCCAGCCTTGTTTTGCTTCCCTTTTCACGTACAATGCAGAATGTAATCCAGATCGATTGGCATGCTGCCCCTGATTTGCTGCCCATTATTGTCTGACGCTGATACCAGTATCTGCAGAACACGTGTGCCATTCTTACTTGAGATTCACTAGCACTACTCACAGCATTAAAGGGACAGTTCGCCCAAAAATAAAAATTGTCACCTTACGCTGTTTTTTCGGAACACAAAAGAAATTATTTTGATGAGTATTTTTGCCCATAAAATTAATGTAAATTGGGTCCAAAACCTCATTGACTTTGATTGTATGGACAAAATGTTTTTGGGTGATCTATCTCTTAAATGGTCTCAATCATAAGTGCCTCTCAATTCAGAATGCTGCTTTATTAAAGTTGCATAATGACACATTCTAACCTACTACCCTATCAGGACAGCTAGATGTCATTATATGTCAAGTATACTCAGATGTTACATAATCTGTATGTTAGCACAGCTAACTCACTTCGCACCAATTCATTTAATATATGCTGATTTAGTATAAACATAGGCCATAAAAAATTGTGTTTGTGGAGATGAAAGCACAAAAAAGTGTTTTAGAACGTAATAGCCATTCAGCTCACGTTTTAATGAAACTTGCATGTTTTTTTAACACAATGGGATGAGACAAATGCCTAGCCATTTTGTTAATCACTATTTCCAGTTCAGTTTTTATTTCCGCCGTTGTGATGGGTTCGGCCCACAGTCAAATCTCATTGGTCCAATAATCCAGCTCCACTTCATTAAAATGGAAACGGGAAATATAAAAATGAAAACTAATTCAAAATACTAATAACCGCTATAATAGTATCTCCATGATACTAAAATAACTGTTATTAATATTTTGAATTAGTTTAAATTTTTATATTTTCTGTTTCCATTTTAATTTAAGTTGAGGTTTTAGTAATTTAGTGTTTTTGCCAGTTTTATTAGTTTTATAAATCTTTTTCTGCCTATATAGTTTTTATTCGTTTGTGTTTTAGTTTTCGTTCTACATTAATTAAACTAATTGGAATATATATTATTCCAGCTAACATTCATTTTACTTCAAGTAACAATTTTTTATGTTTTTTTTTTATTATTATTAAATATAATAACCTGTGCCTCTTGCCTGGTTAGGACTTATATTTGTGGTGCAACATTTACATTTCTTGTGCAAAATAGTTGCATTTATATAAGCAACTTTTTTATGTGTATTTATTTATTTTTTTACCCTTTTTGGTCTAAGAGAGCATCTAAAAGAGTTTTAAATGTGATGAATTTTTATAGGGCCTGCTTTTATAGTCCTGATTTTCTAAATGTTTTTATATCTCTATAAATATAGAATAATGTCCATGCATTCTGAATTTATTGTCTTTGTGTTTTTTATTTATGATAACAGAATTGGTTGTGGTGCTTGTGTGTTTTATGTTGCTTACACATAAAATAATACAAGTGAAATATTTAGTCTTGTTTATAGTGTGAGTTGTCTAATGGATATCATGACTGATAACATGATAATAACGGGGTTCGTTTTTGTGAAGAGCTTTGTTTGCATTTTTTGCTTTGTATGGAATAACTAAATGGAACTGTTTATTCATTTCTTTGCTAGTTATCAGCATGTACTGGTGGAGCAGCTGTTGCATGAGTTTTACGTGTGTGTTTGGCGTCTGGTATTGTCGGATTTGACTGGTCTTTCACCTTTTTCCTCTTTACAACCCTGCTCATTTTGAGCGTGTCGGCTTGCATGAACGACTGCTGTAGATACGAGACTAGATGTTTCTGTGTGTTTGTGTCTGAATTGAAATCCATCAGATGGTGGATTTTCAAGAGATGGAAAACCTTTGTCATCTCCATTTTGCGTCATTACTTCCACTGATTTACATTTTAGGTGTTAAGGATGGTTTTATGAATTATGGAAATGAATAAACATACACTTCCAAAGGTATCTATGTGCTTACTTTCATACACTCACTTAAAAGTAGTTCACCTTTTCTGTCACTACTTACTCACCCTCATGTTGTTCCAAGCCCAATGTTTTTCTGTCCTCGGTGGAACAAAAAAAGAGGAATTTTTAAAGAATAACCAGGCTGATCTTTTAAAAATTTATTGAATGTGGAGCTGCACATACAAAGCTATATTATGCTATATTATCAAACAAAGCTATATTATGATATAACACTATCAGAAGACTTAAACATAGAGTATGAATCATATGGACCACTTTTATTCCCTTTTTTTGTCTTTTAGTTCTTGACAGACCATTCACATTCACTTTAAATATACGGAAACAAGCAGTCTGTCAAGTCTGAATGCAGTCTGAATGGTCTGTCAAAATACTACAGTAGGCACATTTCCATTACAGATTTGCGCAAAACGTTAGCGATATTTTATAAATGTCGATAAAAATGTATTGCGAAATGACGGCGTTTGCATTAACCAATGTTATGCAACTAAAACGTAAATTTTTCCTCTCGTGATAAGTCATGGCAATGGATTTTGGTGGGATTTTGACAGATTTTGGCTATATTTATTAGAAGGAGGCGTATGCGTGTATCTTTACAGAAGCAGCGCGGAAAGCCGCTTCAGAAACATGCGTGGCGCGGCTGGTATAAACACGAGCATTGACTAGAGTGGCCGCAATCAGCTTCAGTGGCCGTATCAGAGCCACACTGCGCCGCAGATGTGTGCAGTGTAAATTGTCTAAGCATTAATGGCAGGAAAGCCCCTTATACTGGAGAGCGGCCACGTATGAAGTGTTTCTTGGAGGTTATAGTACATTGAAGAATGATCATATGACTTTTTACATGTGACCTGTGAATGCGGGAAAAAAAACGTTTCCATTGCAGTTTTGCGAAATATTCCTTTTTCGAATTGCCTGAAAAACCACCATATGCGAGCGTAAACATTTTTTTTGCGATATATGGGAGTTTTTGCAAATTTGACGTGTTTCCATTAGGCATATTTTCAATTCGCAATTTTAATTTGCACAATTTGAAGGGTAAAAACGTTTCCATTGCAGTTTTGCGAAATATTCCTTTTTCGAATTGCCTGAAAAACCACCATATGCGAGCGTAAACTTTTTTTTGCGATATATGGGAGTTTTTGCAAATTTGACGCGTTTCCATTAGGCGTATTTTCAATTCGCAATTTTAATTTGCACAATTTGAAGGGTAATGGAAACGCAGCTAGTGAGTTTGAAAAAATGAAAATTATTTTTCAGTTTAGTGGGAAATTTTTAATTTAGTGAAACTTAATAGCAAATTTTGAAATTTAAAAATTGTTTTAAAATTAATTCTACACCAAATATTTTTTCTGTATATATAATATTCCTTTTTCGAATTGCCTGAAAAACCACCATATGCGAGCGTAAACTTTTTTTTGCGATATATGGGAGTTTTTGCAAATTTGACGCGTTTCCATTAGGCGTATTTTCAATTCGCAATTTTAATTTGCACAATTTGAAGGGTAATGGAAACGCAGCTAGTGAGTTTGAAAAAATGAAAATTATTTTTCAGTTTAGGGGGAAATTTTTAATTTAGTGAAATTTAATAGCAAATTTTGAAATTTAAAAATTGTTTTAAAATTAATTCTACACCAAATATTTTTTCTGTGTATATATATATATATGAGTCCCCCCAGGATTTAGTTT